AGGTGATTGGTTGGTTCGTCAAGTAAGAGTAAGTTCGGACGTTGCCAAACAATAAGCGCTAGAGCTAAACGGGCTTTTTCCCCCCCTGATAAAGGTTCAATGGGGCTGGTGGCCATCGTGCCTGGAAAATTAAATCGTCCTAGAAAATCGCGTAAAACCTGTTCACGTTCGTTTGGTGCGAGCCGATTTAAATGTTCCAGTGGAGTGTCTTGTGGGCGTAAGGTTTCGAGTTGGTGCTGTGCAAAATAACCAATTTGTAGTCCTTTCCCCAGCTGTATATTGCCAGAAAGAGGTTGGATTTCAGCTGCGATGGTTTTAATCAGCGTGGATTTACCTTGTCCATTTGCACCCAAAAGTCCAATCCGTTGCCCGTTCTGGATGGTGAGGGTGACGCGCTGTAAAATGGCTCGATTTGTTTCGTAGCCACAATCGACCAAGGCCATATCCAATAACGGATTAGGGGCGGCATCAGGGGTGAGAAACTCAAACTCAAAGGAACGGTCAAGGCGTATTGGTGCGAGTTGCTCCATGCGTTCGAGTTGTTTGATACGGCTTTGCGCTTGCTTGGCTTTGGTGGCTTTGGCTTTAAACCGGATGATAAAGCTTTGTAAATGTTCAATTTGTTTTTGCTGTTTGACAAAAGCACTTTGTTGCAAGTTCTGTTGTTGTGCGCGTTGCACTTCAAATTGGGAGTAATTGCCACCATACCTTTTTAGAGCTTGTTGATCAATGTGTACAATGACGTTGCACACACTATCTAAAAATTCGCGGTCATGAGAAATTACCATTAAAGTGCCTTGATAGCGTAACAGCCAGTCTTCGAGCCAAATGATCGCGTCGAGATCTAAGTGATTGGTCGGTTCGTCTAACAAAAGCAAATCCGATGGGCACATCAGTGCTTGGGCTAAATTTAATCGCATCCGCCAGCCCCCCGAAAAAGAAGAAACGGGGTGCTCGGTTTCGTGAGGTTTAAATCCGAGACCATGCAATAAGCTTTCGGCACGCATCTTGGCTGTGTACCCGCCAATATCTTGGTATTGAGCATGTAGCTTAGCCAGCATCTCGCCATCACCCGACTGTTCTGCCGCTAAAATGGCCGTTTGGGTTTGCTGTAAGATCGTGTCCCCCGCTAAAACATATTCCAATGCCGTTTGCTCGCTAGCTGGGGTTTCTTGCGCCACATGGGCAATTTGCCAAGTTGGTGGAATAAGGATATCCCCTGCATCGGGTGGGAACTGCCCGCGCAATAAAGCAAATAAAGAGGATTTGCCTGCACCGTTAATACCAATCAAGCCGACGCGTTCTTGTGGGTTAAGCGTGAGTTGGCTCTGATGTAATAAAATTTTGCTGCCGCGTTGTAGGGTGAGGTTTTGAAGTCGTATCACGGTAATAACACTGGTTGAAAAATAAGGTATGAAAAAAGTCCATTAAGATCATTAATGGACTTAGTTGGGCTGAGATCACATCATTCTAGAGGTGCTTGCAATTGGCTATCGATATGATGAGTCTCAATTGCTGCGTATCAATTCTTCCATAAGCAGTGCGCTCGTAAAGTCGAATTAATCCGCGTTTCCTTAGTGAGTTTGCTGGTATTGATCCAACCACTGTAATAAACGTTGTTCAAATTGAGCATTTAAGTGGTGGCTCAAATTGGCGGCAATATCAGGCACCAAACCATTAAGAACCTTTTCGCACTCGGCCTGAACATGAGGCATCCAATCGTTGCGCAAGTGATTGATCATGTCGTTTTGTAAGGCAACACGATCAAAGGTAGCAACAGGTTCAGCTTGGTGCGTTTGTAATGCGTCAGTGTCGAGTTTTTGAAAAGTGGGCTGATCATCAGCCAAGAGTTTATTGGCTGCAAAACCTAAGCCAGCGGCGGCTGCACCAGTGCCTACCACCGCTTCAGCGGGTGCATTACCCATTAGTGATACAGAGCCAAAGTCGTTACGTGTTGCATCAGGATCGGGAACGAGGTTGTCAATCGGTTGATTGAGCACGGGAATGTCTTCATCG